AGAGAGAGAGAGAGAGAGAGAGAGAGAGAGAGAGAGAGAGAGAGAGAGAGAGAGAGAGAGAGCCGAAGGAAGGAGAGGCGAGGACGAGGATTCAAAAAAGAAGGAATAAGCGACGGAGAAAGAAGAGGGGAGGAAGACATATGACGAGCATGGAGGCGACAACTACTCAAGACCAAAGGGCACGGACATTGGGATGAGCCAATTGTTTGTACGGTAGTACGTGCAGAAGCTCACCCACAATATGTCTCTTTCGTCCGGAGTAGGTAACCGTAAACCAGCAAACCCTCGGGGGCTGCAGTTTTCCTCCTGCCGTTACCTCTACACATAAATCAAGTGCGTATCCCAACGCAGCACTGTGTGCTGTCTTCTGTTTTGTGTGCGTGTGCGTGTGTTGTCCCCGCGCGCGCGCGCGCGCGTGTGTGTGTGTGTGTGTGTGTGTGTGCGCGCGCGCGCTCTGTGTGCGCGTGTGTGTGTGTGTGCGTGCGGGCGCGCTCTGTGTGCGCGTGCGTGTGTATGTGTGTGTGTGTGTGTGTGTGTGTGGCGTGTGCGTGGGTGTGTGGGTGTGGGTGTGTGTGTGTGGGTGTTTTTTTACTAGATCCAACTCCAGAAGTGGTGTCTGTGTGAGTGTGAGTGTTTTTTTACTAGATCCAACTCTATTAAGGCCATACTCACACTGGGACCTACAATCCCAAATCCCCCGACAAAAGGGTAGAGGGCCGGTCACACAGATTTGCCAAAAGTCCTAAATGTACTATTCGGGTGCCCATTTGTCAGCGGCCTGTGTAGTGGCAGCGCAACGGAATTTGCGGTCACCTCTGGAGGTACCGCAAATGCCCTATTTAGTTTTTAGCATTGTCTTCGAAAATTGGTGAAAATTCGTTCACGAAAGCTCTTGCACAATTTGTGGATGGCGCCCTGTGACCAGCAAGTACCAAATCTCCATTGCTCCAGACGGCCAGGGCCTTGTCCCATCTGAAAAAGTACAGCAGTGGGACCCGAACCATGCCCAAAAACTCAAATCGGGCCTTGCGGATTTGGGGTCGCAGTGTGAGTATGCCCTCATAAATGTCTGTGTTTTGCGGGCAATTTCTTTTTCTTTTTTTTCCTCTTTTTGTTCTTTTTTTTTTTTTTTTGACCCCTTTCATCGTCAAACTAATTCAGAATTATTTATTTCATGTCACTTGATATTGATTTCATGTTACTCATGGGAACTCGAACCGTGGTTGGCATTTCTACAGTTCATGGGTGCACCAACTGAGTTAGGTAGGCAAGTTCATTGGTCCAGCTTCTCGACCCCATGCATATAGGGAAGTTCTTGACCGCCCCATACGTGTAGGGAAATTCTTGGCAGAAGAGACCGCCGAACCTGTGGGCAGGCCCAGAAAACGCTCAGCCACAACTGCACGGGGACGCCGTCCTCACCGCCAACCAGCTCTCTTTGTGCAATATTTGTCCATGGCCCAAATAGGACGCCCGGTTATTATCGCTGCATGTGGATTGAAAGTGACCCCAAATACAGGTGTAATGAACGGGCACTCTATTCCGGTGAAGTGGGCAGTGGAGCCCCAGCTTACTTCCAGGACATTCCTCGAAATAAGTATGTGGAGCCCAAGGCCAAAGTCAAACTAAAAGACTTAGTCCTGTGAGTGACAAGTGGCACAACAGGACGCCCCATTCTAGTATGGCAGCTAGTTTTTTTTTCTCTTTCATTTCTTTTTCTTTTTTTTTTTCCCCTTTTTTTCTAATAACTACACTATGTTCTTCTCTCAAATTCTTTTTGCCTTTCACTACCTTCCTAGGAGTTCCTACCACAACCGGAACAGGTCAGGAGGAAGGACTCACTAGAATTAGAGTGGTAGGGTCTGAAGATACTGGATTCTATGGATACGAAATGTCCACCCCGGCAGGGGCCCTACCTTTTGACCCTGAGGAGTGGGAATGGAAAGGGCGCAACCCGCCCCCAGTCTGGCAATACACGGTTAGAGAAGGATACAAACAGGTGCACGTCCGCATACCATTAACACCAGTAGTCCAAGATAGGTGGAGAAGGGACTCCCCGGTGGGGGAAGAAAACCTACGTCAGATCCCATGGGCTGTGACGAACTACTTTCTGTAACCGCGCGACTTTCTGCGCAAGGCTGCCGGGGGGGGGGATACGACAGATCGAAGGGGTGAGCTGTGAAAGAGGGTCGAACGGGCTAGTTGCATGGAGGCCCTCGTTTTCTTCTTGTTTTTGCCGGAAGATTGTCGGATCGGTGTCGGGAAAATCCCGTGCCAACGGTTGGGTCGCCGCATTGTGACGAGCGCGAAGAATAACTGTACCATAGCTTTTCCTTTTCCTTTCTTGTTCTGCTGTGAGCACTGGGAATTTTGGCGCGATCATCGTGCGGGAATATTGTTTTTGAATTTTTGACTGATGTCAAGCCCCCACGGGCTCTCGGAATTGTTTTTTTTTTCGGAATTTTCTTTTGCAATTAGGACTTAGGCTAGGAAAATTTAGGTACTCTGAATTTTGTCGAGCAGCGTTGCGCGGGAAACTGGGTTCTGACTAGATCGCACTTTTAATCTTGTGCAACTGTCGTTTTTGGCTGGCGCGATCGTAACTGTAATCTTTCTTCTTTCTTGGTTTCCCTATGTTTGCCCGCCTTCCTCTTCTTCTTCCTCGTCTCCCATACTCTGTTCTAATTGGCCGAGGCGCCTGCATGATCAGATCGATGCGTGGAGTGTGGCTACGACCCCCACGCCGCGACCTGGCCATGCAGACGTAGGCATTTCCTCTCTTCCTTTCATGTCCACCTGGGCTTAATCCTGTACCTTTCGCGCAGGCATGCATGCTATAAATTTCACACGCGCGATTAGTTTGCTCTCTAAGTATTTTGAGGTTAGCGCGATCAGTGAGGGTCGGCTAACGAGCAAGTTTGGAAGGTAAGCGAGTGTGAGAGTTGGGCGATCCGATGAGCTGGTGTCGGGTATGCGGCGTTGGCGTGCGGGGCCACAACGGACTGTGGTGCACGGGCGAACCTGGCTTGCATGCTTGAACCAAGCGGGGTGACAACTCTGCGTTGATACGAGGCGACGAACTGCCGGTATCGTGGGTGTTGATACGAGGCGACGGACTGCCCGCATCGGGAGCCGAGAAAGAGAGAGAGAGAGTGGTTGTGTGGGTGCGGGATAAGTTTTTTTTTTCGTTGTTTCTTCTTTCCTTTGTTCATCCGTACAATTCTGGATCCTGATATGGCCGATTTCTTTATCACGGCCTTCCGTTTTTTAACTTATCTTGTACACTGTCCCGGATTTTCCTTATTGTTTTACTCGGTATGTATGCATGAAATGAATGTAAATCGCCTCTTATTAGCGATCTTTTCGGATGTCCAATCTGTTTTGCGATGCCTGGTTCGTCTGACCAATGTTCGTTTGTGTGAGCTAAACGATCAGATCTGATTGGAAATGCTCGCTTTGGATGTCTGGGATCTAGTCATTGATTATCTTGCTCCCTCTTCCCTCCTTTTGCGTCACATGTATGGCATGTAGTGACTGGTAGGATATTCACACTTACGATGAACACGACCGGCACACAGAACCAATCGACTGTTTCTTACGTGCGCGCAGTGCCATGCGTACGATCGCAATCTCAAGAAAGTCGAGTCGTCACATACGCGCTCGTCTGCGTGAGTCAGCCTTAACCCCGTGTAAGGATGCGGGGGATTCGACTTGCTAAACGGACATGGCTGCGAGATCTTCCTCTTGGGCGGCGAACAACTTAGACTACGGGGAAACTTGAGAAACCCAGAATTCCCCTGTTTGACAGAGCACGACCGACTGTGCGCGGGGGATTTTCACTGGGCTATAACCAGCGAACCTAGAGGCTCAGATTACCCAGACACAGACAATACTCAATACTACATTTCCCCGGGTTTCGTCGTTATCACTACCAATTTCCCTCCCTTCCATCTCCTTCTCCCATATCACCAACTCACGGTAGTACCGTGAAATTCCATAGCTCGCTATTAGCCCAGCCCATCATGCGAAGGTTGCCAGCATCACCTTTTGAAAACGCCCAGATCATGGGGTCAACTACTATAAACTCAACACCTCCTTGATCCAGTCCAAATCCTTCCAAAAGTACCTACAACACGTTTGGAACTTTTGGAAGGATACTCGCCCCCAACACGATTTTCAAATCACATGGTTTAACCACGGGATGTTCTTTCTGGCCAAAAAATGCAACAAATATTCCAAACATTTAGCTGCACAGCGATATCGGCAAGAAATCACGACAATGAAAAATCTTATGGATGCCGAACATAAATTATTTTTGCAAGAGCAAGAATCAACTACCGCAGAGCTACTAACCCAAATACTGGACCTAAAATCTCAGTTCTTGCAGCATACACAGTATCGTTGGCAGGGAGCCCGGACAAGAGCAAGACTATCCAGACTCACATCTGAAGGTGTGATGAACTCTCAGTTCTTCAGCCTAGCCAAGCCACTTTTTAGAAGGACAACGATCGAGGCGCTCTACGAACCACAAGCTATGGACTCGGATCCGGTCGCGACCACGGCTCAATGCACCAAGATAACATACGACATCTACAAAGATTTTTTCGCCTCGCAGATGGGCATTTCAGATGCGCAGGACCATGAACGATAATTAAATGGATTTCTGAAACCAATTAAAAAGTCATTAACACCTGAACAACGCGTATCTTTAGAGGCTCCAATCTCCAAGCAGGAAATCTGGACAGCCCTCCTGCAAATGAATGAGGAAAAGGCACCTGGGATCGATGGCCTCCCTAAGGAATTATGGGAGACCACGTGGGATTTTCTGAGTTAGGATATCATGGACTTCTATAAGGAAGTATAGCAGACGGGGGAGATGGGTGAATAGGTGGGGCAAGGAGTATTGACTCTCTTATATAAAAAGGCGGACAAGATGGATATCAGAAACTACCGCCCTATCACACTCCTCACAGTGATATACAAAATGTTGTCTAAAGCCCTAGCTAACAGAATGATCCCTGTGATGAAAAACATCATCCATCCCTCTCAAATCGGTTTCATGAAGAACAGGAATACACAGAATAATATTCTGATAATCCATGAAGTACTCCAACTCACGAGACACTTTTGCGAAAATGCAGCGTTGGTCTTTATCGATTTTGAAAAGGCCTATGACCACGTGGACTGACTGTTCTTAGATAAATGCCTGGAAAAGATGAATTTTTGGCCAACCTTCCGGCGCTGGGTTCAGATACTGCACCAGAATGCAACCACCTGCATCCAAGTCAATGGATGTATGGTTCCTCCTTT